GGGCGGCTCGGGCTCGGGCTCCCGGATCGTGCTGGCAGAGCCGCGGCGACGTGGCTCCGGATCCTTTTTGTGTGCGTTTCTGGAGGGCTTCGGGCCTGCTCCGGCCCCCGATCCCTTCCCCTGACCGCGGTCCGAGCCGCCCCCGCGGGGCCGTGCGGCGGGGGGGGGGCCTGGGGAAGTGGCCTGGCTCCAGCAGCCCCGCGGGAGACGGCAGGGCCTGGGCGTCAGACCCCGCGCGGATTCGGCCACCAGCCCCTGGATTTCGGAGACCTTCAGGCCACCGCACACTTGGACCACGAGGTCCCCGTCTCCCAAATGCCACGGCTCTTGTCAGTTGCGACTGAATTGGGGGGGGGGAGGTGTTCACCCATCACTCTTGGAAAGGGAGGGAGCTTATTTGCAGGTTTGAGTGTACCGGTGTCTGACACTCTTGGCCTTGAGCTTCCCAGCCAGAAAGAAGCCCCCACCCCGACCTTTCTTCTTTTTTTAAGGGGGGGTGGAAAAGCTGCTGAGCCTGGGAAGCCAATCTGCCAGGTGTCAGAAGAGCTCTTTCAAAATGGTGATGAGAGCACTTCTGGCACCAGTCGTCTTGGGAGCACAGGTCCCACATTAGCCTCGATGAATCTTTGCTGCTTAGTCGTCTGCGTCAAGCAGCAAACTTGATTTGGCTGTGAATGAAAGAAGTAGCAAATGCTAGGTGACTCAGGGAGAGAGTTTGCAAATGCATTGTCCTCTTCCCCCCCCCCCCCTTTTCCTGGGCGGGGTGGTTTGCCTTGTCCCCTTCCCCCCCCCCCCCATTTGCCTGGCTGGAGTTGCTATATGGGAAGGCCAAGTGATAATCTTTTCCTTCCTAACTTTTGTTTGCTTTCCTTCTCACCTGATTTTTTTTTCCCAAGATTTACCCCAGCCATAGGTATAGACACCTAATCCTGCATTTCTTGCACATATAAATTTTGCGCTGACTGACCTCATTGGGAATCTGGCCCTTGGTTTTGCATTTAGATCCACATAGGCTGACTACATTGATTTCAAGGATCTGTCTTGTGGATTTGCTTGTTGGGCTGAGGTAATGAGGAGCTCTTGCTTTTAGAATGGAAATACCTGTTGGCCTTTCTCAATTTTTCTCTCTCAACTCCAAGAGCAATTTCAAAAAAGTTTTGTCATTTATAATCAAACATGCATCAATAGTGAGCTAAAAAACAAGGAATGCTGCATATGCTGACAGCCCAGCACCCTGTTGTTCTCGCATCTGCCTGACAATTAGTCAATTAGAACGTGATACGATTTTATTTTCTAACCAGGTACTAATCTCAATTTCTACTCCTGACTAATTTCCACATGCTTTGAGGAAAAAAGGAAAAACTAGAGTCCTAGTTTTTGTAACCTGCACAGTAGAAACATATTTAGATAAAAATTGGAATTGGATGGTAGGGAGTATAGTTGTAAATAAGCATTCATAGTGAACCCTTGAAATGTTACCCCCAAAAACCCATATTCAGTCCTTACCAAGTTGCCTATGTGTACCTTCCTGTCATCACCAGAAAAGGGCACTGCAATTTGAACATTGTATTATTGATGACAGAAGTATAAATCTGTTTGCTATTCCTGTTCCTTTTTCTTCCCTTCAGTTCAGCTGTACTTATGGGTTACCTAGAAGTGCGGTTGAAAACAGCCAAGTAAAGTATACACTAGCACTGTTTTGATTTCTTGCATCATCAGCTTGGGTGGAAACTGAAGCCTTAAAAGGCTTCCAAAGAAATCATCTCTTTATGTACTTTATGGTTAACACTTTCAGCAAAGCGGATTATAGGAAGTTGTGTAGCTTGCTGTTTTGTTGAGGCAGATGTTATGAATAAGCATCTGTCAATATGTGTGAACATTTAACCACCTAGCTACCTTAGATTTATATAACAGAGAGATTTGTTCTGAAAGTTTAGTGTCCTGTTGTGACATTATGCCCCAAAAAGAAGGATGTTTTCTGCTATGCATGGGGACGTGTAATTTATGCTGCGTGATGAGTTAAGTAATCTCAAATTAGATCATCCTTATTCAAGTAATTAATTCTTTAGCCTAGCTACATCTAAAATAAAATGTATTTTATCAGTTTCCATGCTCTTGGCAAATTTTATTAAATTAATAACAAATAGGAGAAGGATAAAGATTTGAGGTTAGAAACCAGCTCTTAACTGGTTTCTTCTGCAGGAGTTCTCAGCTTTTCCCCACAGCATAAAGGACTTGTAGATGTGTAGAAAGCTGGCTTGTCTCACAGCTATGGCACATCCTCCTGACTTCTAAAACAGAACGGAAAATACACAAAATATTTCCCTGATGTTGCTTTGTCATGTGAGCAATTGCCACAGTTACCAGAGGTTTTTGATGTGACAACAAAAAGGAAAGTGGTGTGTGAGAGATTATTCACAGGCTGTACAAAAAGTTTGAGAAGCAGAGGGCTTTGTGTCTGAGTGTAATCTTGATTGCACAGGTGTTTTCTTTCAAGCACTGTAAGCTGGTAAACCACCTTTTATTATGGAAGTGATCTATGTATGAGAAAAGCTAGGGTCATTGTGTACTGTGATATATTGCCACACAGCTGGTCAGGTGGTGAAAGGACTCACCTTTCTGGAGGATCCAGTGTAGGCTGCTACCAAAAGCAAGATATTGGACTATATTGAATCAGTGGTCTGTTCTAGTTGGTCCCTGTGCTGTTGGTCAAGAAAAAGTCACTTGCCTATTATCTTTTACTGTCCCTTTTCTATTATGACTTCCTTTAATACTTTCATTTTTCATATACATGCATCCTCTACATGCATGTATGTATGTAGAGGATGATACCGGCTTCCATTTTTTACATGGCAATACGTTTCATGCATTTGCTTCTGACGGTAGGCAGTGCTCCTTATTCATGCATGTGTGACAAATACTAATCATTTCACATCGGTGTAAACCTGAGTAATCCCACTGATTTGAGTTCAGTTACTCTGAGATTACACTGGTATAACTGAGGTCTAAATCTGGCCCTGTGTCTCTGGCCTGGCAAAGGGGAGGTGGGGAGAGGGAGATGGGACGTACTTACTGGTTGAAGTATTCCCCTGCCACAGACTACAGAAAAAGCATGATCTGTACATAGTTTTTGTTCATGGCATGGGAATGCTTTAAAGCAGGCTTCACTTTCATGGGTTTTATAAATTGTACTGGAGCTTTTGTAGTGCAGTGGCGCAGCATACACTGAAGAACCTGCAATGATTTGATTGTCTAAAATCCCAGTTCTTTACAAATGTGTTCAACAGAGCAAAAGTTGCTATTTAGTAATAGCACAGGAACGTATCATAGAAGCTGCAAATCAAGAGGGGATTTGGGAGAGGCATGGCTCTGTGGCAGGAAAGCAATCAAGACAGCTGGTTTATCGCTGCGGGGATGCTTACAGCGTTTCTGTATAACTCTGACCTGGTACTGCTGTGTGTAGAAGCTCGCCCTGCTGCTATCCCAACTGGCATTGCTATGAGAATGCCCTGTATAGATTAAACCTCTCTCATTTTGGGGTAACTAAAATCTATAAATCATAATCATTAAACATGCCTATTAAAGCTCTGACAAGGCAGTTAGACTCTGTAGTGTGTTCTTGTACTGTGTTGCGTTATAGCCCACCAACCTAGATTAATTTGCTGTACTCCAACCCGCCTTTTTGGGGGTGGGGAGGAGGAGTATTTTTTTTAGGTATGAAATTTACAGGATCTCCAATCAAATTAAAGGTGTCCCAGGGTCAGCCCGTGAAACTAAATTGCACCCTCGAGGGAATGGAAGACCCAGAGATGTTGTGGATGAAGGATGGAGCTGTGGTGCAGGGTGTAGACCAGGTGTACATTCCAGTAGATGAAGAACACTGGATCGGTTTTCTCAGGTACAACATGTGTGGAGAAGAAAGAATATCATGAAAGCTAATTAGTCACATTCTGCTGTTGGATGCATCTGTGCAACCCCACACACAACACTGGGGATGAGTCATTATAGCAGCAGTGCACAAGGGTATCTGAGAGCAGAATTTGACCTACAGTGTTGATCACCAAGGATGAGTTAAATTTCAGCTGGTGGAATCTGACTAGGTTCTTAGATGCTATGGTGATGGGTGCTTTGCAAATAACCACAATAGACAGACAGGAAACCTCGAGGTAAAAGGCATTCTTTATCCTACCAGCTACCTTGTCTGTGGGCTGAAATCGTGAAGATGTTTTTAGCTATCTTTCTTTCCTCTCCCTTTTTGAAGAAAATAATTTAAGAACCTGTCTCCAGTTCTGGGTTGTATATGTATCTGAATGGTGTGTTGATACTGTAACAAATCATTACTGGCAACAGAATGGCTGAAAAAATCAGTGATGGGAAGCAGAGTCTTTTGCTGTAATGCTCCAATTCAAATCCAGCTTCACTCCATTTAGGCTAAAAGTCATTGTTATCTAAAGTCTCATCCAAGGTCAGAAGTAGGTTGATGGTCTCAGCCCAGTTCCTAGTAAATAGCTATCCACCACCAGAATTAATGGCCTTGTTAGCAGTCTCAGTAGAGGCCTGAATGGGTGAGAGAAATGAGTGCTTGTCTGCACCACCTCCATGCTGTGCCCTGGACAGGCACCATGGACCGTTCCCACGTACTTGCTACCACTCAGCACGTGCGACATCCCAGAATGAGGCCAAGGCATCCATCGTCCTTAGAGTGGCACTGAGCACACATCAGTAACCACACTTAAGACAGAAAGTCTGAGTCTGGTGGGACGCTCAGAACTGCTTAAGGCAACAACATTATCTCGTATTTGGAATCTGGCACATGCTGAGTGGGAGCCAGCAAACAGGGTGTGCTGCACAACAGGAGTCCTGGGCGTGATGTCTTGTCAGCATAGGCCAGCCTTATACTTTGAGGGCGTCTTAGTAGACCGGGGGTTGGCAACATTTTTGGACAGAGTACCAAAAACACCTGCAACCTTGACTTGTAAGATGTTGGTGTGCCATGGGGTAAACAGCGGGGGGAGCTGCAAGGGGCCTGATCCTTGTTGTGGTGGTGCAGCCCCAGCCCTTTCACCACCGTCTGCCCCTAGGCATGTGTGCCCACCAGGGAGCCTGGGCTTCTCGCAGCAGGCAGCAGAGAGGCTGAAAGCAGCTGCACCAGGGTCTGTGGAGCCCTGGTGTTGCTTGTTGCTGGTTGCAGCTCAAGGTGGATGGTGGGGAAGTGGCTGAGGCTGCACTGCCACAACAAGGATTGGGCCCCTTGTCGCTCCCCCGCTGTCTGCCCTGAAGCTCACTCGCCAAGCAAAATACCTTTGCGTGCCATGCTTTGGTGCTACTTCTGTCTGTGCTCTCTGTGCAACAGACTTTACTTTCTGTGGCTTTCATTCAGGCTCTTTTAAGAGCACTGGGTAGAAAAAACAAACAACAAGTGTTTGTAAGATATTTTCACCTCATTTATTCTAATAAACTCTGCAGTGCAGCTGGAAGTTTAACGTCTGACTTGTATAAATATATTCTCTCTCACATTCATTAATGTTTTTCTTCCTCGGTCACTCCTCTCTTTCTGATTAAAAGGGTGAGGTGCCCTAATTTAAAATCTGACTCCCAAGACCAGGTTTCACTCTTATGTGGAGCAGAGTGTTTATCATGCACGCTGTCCCTTCGGCAT